ACTGCTTGTGATTTATTCTCTCTTGATGTTACAGAAAGTTATTGATTGATTTGAGTTTATCCTTTGATGGACTTCTTCCATCTGGCAGTGAAGAATTCATTTGGTTCATCATGAAAATGTCAAAGGTGAAGGTCACAAAATAGAAGAAAATGCTACTGGCCAAAAATATATTAATGCAATATTCATTAAACCTTTCATATTCCATCTCTAGGATGGGTTCTGCTTTGATCAGGATTTGGTCTAGATAGGTCGAAGGTCAAGTTCGTTGTTGAGCTTTTAGAGAAACATCCATTGAATTTGAGCTGTGGAATTTCTTCTGTATGTGCCACATGTGAAGGAAAAGGTGACAGGATGGAAAATTTTCGATGAAAAGCTAGGGCTTTTACCTCCTCAAAAAGTAAGGATGTGTATAGGAATAAGTTGTCGATGTGGTAAAAGGCTATATGTTATAATAGTCCACTGTCCAGGTCATTGTCCAGAGATGCTTAGAAATCATCAGTTTCCTTGAAATGTTTGTTGCTACATCTGATAATTCCAGTCATCTTTTAAGTTATTATGAAACATGAAGTTATCATTCATTGCAAGTTTCTGTTGCAATTTTACTTATACACTCCTGAAACTTATGTAATTGTTGGGCCATAAGATGTCTAGGTTTTAAAGTATAGATTTGTAAGTCATGTTTTTGGACTTTAAGTGCATAGTGTTTCATAAAAATGCTACCATACATGCAAATACCTCCAGTTATGTTATCAATTGCCCAGGATAAATTTAATCTAATCTCTGTTGCACTATCAGGTTATCTTCTTCGTTACTCGTAAGAGTTTTTGCTAATACAGAGAGACTGATATTAAGTAGGACAATGTTACATGAAGTATACTGTTGGAATCAAGCCCTACATGCTGAAGATGTTTTTGCTTTTGTTTCAAGCAGCAGATGTTACACATGTGTAAACTGATCCTGTTTAAGTATTGAATATATCGTGTGCTGTAGCAGTGTGGTGCTGCTGTATGGCCTTGTACAGCTGAAATATTGCCTGGATTGCTGAGGTAAAATGATAGGGGAAGACAGTCCAACACATTACAATACTGACTTGGTTATAAAACCAAGAAACCCTCTCATGAAATTCAGATAACAAGTCTGGAGAAACTGATCGAGTTGAATTCTTATCAGATTAAGAGGGTGATTTGGGGTTTTTGGTGATTGATAAAGAAACAAGGAGTTTCTTTAGCTGTGTGGGGTAGCTTGGTGGTTAAAGCGTTTGGGTTCAGTGCAAACATTAGGGCTACAACAATTCGCTCGATTCAATTTGATTTTCGCTATTGGACCCTCAATTCGATCATTTTCGATTCGATTCTTCATACAAGTAAAAACATCAGATTTCATTTAACTCTCTGAAGTGGCTTTTATAACATGAAATCCACCGTCATCTAACAACAATTGTCATTGGATAATTAGCCCAGCATCAACCATTAACGTTTCACCTTATTTCAGTGCTTGAAACTGCTTGAGTTGAAGTCAAAGTTACGTTCTGGCTGTGTGGAAATAATTTAAATAGGTATTCAAATATCGAATCGAAAAAGTGACAATGGTTATCGAAAATCAAAACTAAAGTGTCAGATTCGATTCACGATTTTCAATGAATTGAACTGAATCGTTGCAGCCCTAGCAGACATGGTCCTGAAAGCTCTGGAGTTTGAGATTAAGGCGAGGTAACAGGAAACACATATTTGTGATTTTTTTGCCTTATATTTGTTGAATTGTGTCCCTCTGTGCAAGAAGATAGGCTATTGTGGCAGCTCTTTGGGCGTCTATGGCATCATTGGGTCTAGATAGTTTGGCCATTTGCCTGTCAGCTTGTCTTGTGATTTGTGATTAGAAGTATTACAGGATAACCATCCTTCTGAGAATTAGCCTTGATTGTAGCAGTCAGACATGGTGTCAGACAAACTTTCAGACAGATTCTTGTGAATCCACACTTTTAACTGTCACTTGTTGATATGTTGAGAGCCACTGAAATTACTGACATAAACAGTCTTGTTGAAATCCTGGGACAAGACCTTTATCTGTTACTTGGAGCTTAAACAATTTTTTAAGGGAAAATATGTGAAATAATTTGCCCCTACCCAATGTATTTTGAATACTGTATTTTCTCAAGTAAAGTAAGTAAACCCAAGTTAATACTGTCAAGAGTTCTTAACAGGCAACAGTACTTTGGAAAAAGGGATTGTTTGAAAAATTTACAGTGTGCAAAATTTACGGTGGTCCTGTGGTCCCTGGCTAGTAGAAAGTCATCAGGACCACAAATTGATAAGTTTGCAGTGGTTCTGATGGCCAGTGAATTTTGTATTGATAATTACATAAATCTACGAATGTTATTTTGGACCAGTGAAGTACAGACAGGACCACTAATTATTGTCCACTCCCTGGCCCTGTGGTCTAGTGGGAAATTTTGAAAGATTTCCTTCCCTGCTTTATAAAACTACACAATTTATCCCTTTAGAAAACAAAATTTGAGATAATGCATCACAAGACATGATGATTCACAATGTAAATTAATACTTTATTTCATCACAATAGTTGTATGATATTATAGATGACACAAGTTTTCATATCGATAGTCATCAATAATTCTTCCCATGATGATATTTCTGATTATCAAGCTTTATAGCCAGCCCTAGTTGTTTTTGTAGTGGTGGCATTTGGTGTAGTGATTTGCAGTTTGATTGTGACATGTAGGCTGACAATGTTCATTTCACTTATTCAATCACTAACTCACTCTCTCACTCACTTCACACACTTCACACACTTCACTTACTCACTCTCACTCACTCACTCACTCACTCACTCACTTCACACACTTCACTCACTCACTCTCTCTCACTCTACTCACTCACTCACTCCTGCAGTGAATAATATACAAAAGTGTTACATCCCATTTCTTGCAATACCTCTTAAAAGCAAGTTTAAGGGTTGGAATTGCAGTTTCCTTGGAAACTAAACAAAGATGCATGCACCTTGGTTCTTTTGACTACATTGTGTAGCAACGAGTGATCACAGATGCCAGACCCTTGTAGTAAACATGTACTAGGACATAATACTGCCATGTACCCACTTCTCTATACAACCTGGTTCATTCTGCATGCCTACAGCAGATAAAACATGGCCCCTGAACAATTTAAACACAGCCAAGCCTGTTGCTTCCCACTCTGCCAATTAGCAGTTTCATCTACCTCCCATACTAGTTTTACAGTGCACTCAAGCTGGGGAAGTATTGTATGCGTTCATAGATGTGCAATTTGAGACCTATCTTGACCCTGTTTGTCATGGAGTCTTTTCATCATTGTCCAAAAAATACATATGTTCATGTACTCAGATGAGAGGCAAGACTTTCGATCTCACTTTCCCATGATTGAGCTGAACGTATTCTATAGCTGGTACACTTCAGTGAGCAAAACTGATTTTAATTGCATCTTATTGAATGAAAGCGACATTGTCAAGATGTTTGATAAGGTTGACGGGTTGTATTTTGATGATAGACTGATTCTCTACTATTGATAAGCCCCTGGCTCATTGCACCTGTTTATCTGGGGTTCATTATGACTTTGTATGAATACGGCTGGATTAGATTTGACATTCTGTATGGGATATTAACCTGTAAATTCATGGAATATGCAGTAATGGTGATTGGTCTTGGGTTCTGATTTAGTTGGAGTCTGTGATAATCTAATCATGTGGACAAGTGATGGTGAATGTGATTGATCTTGTAGACAATGTTTACAGTTCAGCACAGAACAGCTATGGCAGGCCTGCTTCCTTCCAGTGACTAAAGTCAATAAAACCCTGGCCCTTATACATATTCCCCGTTACACCCCCTGAGCAGAGGTGTAATGGCCACATCTGCCCTTCCATACTGCCCACACCAGCTGGAAACTGACCAGATGTAGCAGAGGCCGAATTGTTTCTGACAGTTTTACAGTTGGAGTCAGAAGAGGTAGAGGTGGAACTTTTTAAGATGGGATAAGAAGTGGTACATGTGGAATAGCAGAAGTGGGATAAGAAGTCGAAGAGTAGAAGTGGCATAAAAAGTGGAAGAGCAGAAATGGGATAAGATGTTGAAGAGCAGAGGTGGGATAAGATGTTGAAGAGCAGAAATGGGATAAGATGTTGAAGAGCAGAGGTGGGATAAAAAGTTGGAGAGTAGAAGTGGGATAAGAAGTGGAATAGCATAGTGGGATAAAAAGTGGTATACAGCAGAAGAGGGATAAAAAGTGGTAATTGAAGAGGATAAAAAGTGGTATAGCAGAAGTGGGATGGAAAGTGGAATCAAAGTGGTATAGCAGAAGTGGGGTAAGAAGTGGTTTAGCAGAAGTGGGGTTATAAAATGTAGAGGTGAGATATTAGAGTTGTCAGAAGTGGTAGAAGCCTAAGCAGAAGTTTAGAGAAGTGGTAAAAGTTAGATAAATATGATAGGCTGAATAGCAGGAGTGGGGTAATGAGATGGGTCAGAAGTTGAGGAGGTGAGATAACAGAAGAAGGTTCACCAACAGTGGTAGATGTGGCAGGGGTGGGTTCCCAGTAGCCAAGGAGCTGTGAGAGTTGTTAACAGGCAACCCTGATTGACGGACAGCCGATATACGTGAAGAAAGACACAGCAGGGAATTCTGTGATCATCTCCTCCAACTTGCATTGCTTGAACTCTGGACATTTGTCGTGATGTGAATGAAGAATCTGCCTCGAAAGTAGCCATAATTGCAACTCTTGAACACCATGCCTCCGGAGAGAGGACTTATCAGGGGGTAACCAACCATGCGGATTTCTCACAGATAGCATTACCTCGCCAACATCACAGTAATTTGTTAATGAGCATAGGCAGACTGTTGTTGGCTATTATCCTGGGAGAAATATACAGCACCTTGCTGTAGAGGGTACACCTGGATGGTCTGACCGGATACCAGAACCAGAACACTTGGACCGAGCATGTTGCAGTGGAGAAGTTCAGCCAGTTGAATTACCTAATATTTTATAAGGCGTTATACACTGAAGTGTACTCATATCCTGTGTAAGGATACTTGAATCGAGAAGTTTATACTGCAGGAGTGCTTAGAGGGAAACAGCCCTATACTTATTAGTTTACGAGTGGTGTTTTGACAAATTCTGCTTTATCGTATGTGGATTATGACAGCCTTGGGAGAGAGTTTGGAAATGTCGATGGGCATGTCTTCTCTCCCGACACAGAGGAATTCAGGATTGGACTTACAAACACTGAGATTATAGTCCCTGGTCGCAGGAGTATATGGCTTGTATTGCTGGGCTGACCACACAGAGAGACCAGTAACAAGCCACACTGGCATGTTGAACACACCCGTGTCAAACAGGTGATCCACATGGCCGAAATTCCAGTAACCAATTCTCAATGCTATAGGTTGGGATTTTCATGAGAATTGCTGTAAGCTCCCCAGAGCTTGTTAAAAGTTGTCAGGGGATATGGATTTAGTGAGCTATTGGTGACAGTGTGATTGTGTGATACAGGACCCTAATGACGGTGTCGTCGGGAGAAATGGGAGCCCGGCATGGGAGGAGTCTTGATACATGATACGTGCACGTTTGTATAGAGCCAATATACTGAGTGGTTGTGTACTTACCAATTAAGTTCCTACAAGACTTGTATGTTGAATATCAGCTAGGATGTTGACATAGTATATGGATTTGGAATCGGGATCCTTCCTGTTCAGTAAGTGGATATTCCATCTGTTGATATACTACCCTTAGACCCTGCATGTACGGAAGTTAGGCGCGGGCTGGTGAAGTGAACATATCAGCAATCTTTTCAAAGTCGCAAGTGATCGGAAGGTGGTTTGAGGAACGGTTGTGAATTTGTTTGAGTTGGACACTTACCTTTTGGAGAGTGGGGAAGGAGGAGGAAAGGTCACCTACTGCAAACACTGCTTGTCAAATAAGCCATTTGACCGTGTGAGTCGTTCTCCTAGGTAGCTGATTCACCTGAGGTGGGTAGGTCAGCCCATCTTAACACAACCCCAGCTTGCATTGACAAGCCCAGCTGCATGACCCTCACAGACACTGACTACACTGGCAGGGATGAACTACCTTTTATGATGATCTTCACTTGCATTTCCTTCGGAATATTTGATCATAATGTGCCCAGTGTCATTTCTTTCCTGTGTGGTTGGGAGTTATGGTACAGGAAATTCTGAACATCTTTTGCTTGTTATCTGCAATGTGACAGTGTTGTAGTACGGTGCTGAGAACATTAAGAGGTGGACGGACACCCGGTTGTGTGACACAGTATAATTAGGCTTGTGGTTGTAAACAGCAGGTAGTTGTTGGTTGAGAAAAGTGTATTATTGCTCAGCTTGAACACCTCCTTGAAACGTTTTTAACAAGCAGCACATCCATAACTTGGATCTCAGCTTACAAACCACCTGATGAAAATCAGAAGTGGCTTCAGGATTTGTAGTGGGCTCGGAAGCTTGACAACAATACTTGACTGTTCCGTGAACTGATGTATGCAGTGTTTGCCGGCTGGTTATATTGTGAGATTTATGAGTTGAGTTCAACTTTATATTATTCATTGATCAGATATGCTGCTAGCTACACGGACGGAAACAGGATTTACGTGGAGAGCATATAGTGGGATTACTTACGTGCTACTAGGTAACCAACAGCAATTGTGTGGCAGTATTGATCAGAGGCTAAATTACTACAGCAGTTATGACAGAGTGTACACACATCTAAGATTTTCTCACCGTCAGTTTTACCTGAGGCGTGTTGGATGCTAGTCTGGAGGTAAGATCAGGCCGGCCTCCACGTGGATGGGGTATGTCAGACTACTCGCTACTTTGAAGTGAGAGAATAGGCTTGTTTCACTGCTTCTACCATTCATGTACTTCTTGAATCATTGTGTGACATTGTGAACTTTTCAGAACTAGTCTGCATACTTGGAATGGTACCCCTCTGTCAGAAACTTGAGGATTTATGAGAAATGTGCTGGAATATATGTGTATGTGATAGCTGTTTAGAATATTTGGTTGGTGTTCCTTTTTTTCCCTACCTCCTTGCCTAACTGGTGGAATCACTTAGGCAGCCTCAGTTCTGTGCAAGTTGCCGTCTGCTACGGTGAATTCCTCTGATGATTTTAATTACTGGGTATAATGAGTGCTGCTCCTTTAGCATCTTGTAGCAGGTGGTTAGAGTTTCCACCTACAGAAACTATTCTGTTGAATTTCTCCATCAGTTAGGTTTTGTTGCAAGATTCATCCCAGGTGTTGATGTGTAAACAGACAGGAATTTTTGCGAGGTACAAGGACAGACAAAAGTTGAACAATCTGACCCCTGCTGAGCTGGACCAAGGATGAGACAGATGGACAGTGCCCCCTTCCCCTTCCCCCCTGGGAGCAGGGATAGACAAGCTTGATTCAGGTGGCCAGATACCTGCTGTGTGGCAGACTGCATGTGGACTCCTCATGGACAACAGTGGATGGTATACAAAGCCTACAGTCAGTCAGATGGAGTTCCAAGTGCTCAGGGATTCCCCGCAGTGTATTTTGATGTAGAAAAAACGTCTATTGATTTCATTAACTGGGACATCTAGTTACCTGTCATCACTGGATTTATATGATAACGGATGTGGATAGTTGTTGCCATATTGGATTGCAGTTTTCATATTTTCATGATGGAATAGTCAAGTGGAGTATTGGAAGATGATGATGTTTGAACCAGTTTGGCATCGTGTTGATGTTACATAGTGTGTGACCATTTGGATGTGATCAGTTCATTATTGCAATAATGTCATTGAAAGAGAGAAGAGTGGCTTTCTGTGAGGATCCAGAAATAAAAAGTGCTCGTGAGGCGAGAAGTCGAACAAGAAACCAGAGCCATGCCCGACGTTCGAAATCCCAGGAAGTTCGTAGTCAGAGAGATCGGAGTTTGTCTCAGGATAAACCAAGAAAACGGCAGAGAAGTCTTGTCAGTTTGGTTCGGACAGGATCTCGTAGCTCTGTGCGAAATCTTGTTCGGCTGTTTGAGAACAAATTGGTAAGATATAAACCGACGTATTAAAATGTTTATTGTAATATGTATCATATATAGATGGGTTGTGTGTACCTATGTTCTTAATTAGTCATAATGATGAAATATTCAATACTGACCCAGCTTCTGGTTATGTGTGTTAGCTATTCATTATTTAGACCTACCTGCATTGTTGATGATGTTTGAGTACAGTTAATTAAACAGATGTGCCATCTGCGTAATAAGGGCTTGGTTGGTATGGTGACAGGAGTTCCGAAGGTGTGAGCAAGGTGTCGCACGTGCTGTCACGCCGTCCAATGTGTGCTGTCACACCAGCCAATGTGTGGTGTCTTCTTGTTGATGTGTGTTATTCTGATTAATGACACATGTTGACAATTATGGAGTTAATGTATTTAATGTCCTTACTCTTGATGGATGTGATGGTTTGAGTGATCTCAAACATTTGTGACAGTCAACAGCTGACAATAATGACCCACTTCAAAGTACTGGTTCAACTGATGGGTCATCAGTGGTAGATACACAGTGGCAGATGATGCAGATCCAATCTTTGCTGTCCATATAGATATACTCAGTATAGCTGTCAAACCTCACCAGTGTCAGGATGACTGCTTTAGACAGTGAGACATCGTCAGTAGGACCCGAACATATTACTCATTCCATGCCCACCCACTTCCTAATCCTTTGATTCTACATCTCAAAAATGTGTGCAGACATAATATTGTCAAATCAAATACACCCTTTTCAATTATGATTCATATTAACAATGATACAAGTAGAAATCTGTGTGAATTTTTAATGAATAATTTCCTTCTTTACGCTCAAAATATTGATATTTGTGGCATCGAAACAAACCCTCTCTGACAGATGTCAGATATTGTGTTGTCTTGACTAGACACTCATTAGGCAGGATGTCATCACTGCGAAACCTTGGACTTAGCACCTTAGAAATAAGTGAATTATTTACCACAGCACCATGCATTGTTAATCTGGATATCTGGGAAAATGGACCAGATAATGTGATCCATAGTCAGCTCCCATTTTCGTCCACATACTTCAGAATATGTTTGCTGGACTTGTAAAATTCAGGAAAAACTTCATGATATTTCTTGTGGACTACCCCTTTTGCTATTTGGTAGATAATAAAGTAACAGATGATCTTTACATTCTAGTGAAATTAAAAAATAGTTTCTACGCTTGTTTTGTCATCTGACAATTACAAGGTGTCTTATTTTGGTCACAGTTTGTCCTGAACAACTGACAAGGTGTCTCATGTAGAAGTCAGTTTGTCCTTTGCCAAGGACATGGTGTCCAATGTAGAGGACAGTTTGTCCTATTCCAAGGACATGGTATCCAATGTAGAGGACAGCTTGTCCCATTCCAAGAATATTCAATCATGTACTGGAAAAACGTGTGAGGGTGGTTTGTCCTACGTGGCCATTGTTCATGAGAGTTTACACCAAGCAGGGGCACTTTTTCTCATGTAGAAGACCAGTTTTCAATCTCTAGATAAGGTGTTCCTTGTGGAGAAAAGTCAAGGCTTGTTTGACAGATTTCCAAAGGCTCTACCCTAAAGATGCCCAGGACCTGAATTTTAATGTAAAGCTTATGCTGTTGTCATGGTACATGATCAGATAATCATGAGATTACATGATATAACTGAATGCATATATCACCAGAATTTGTTACCCCCCTCGGCAGTATCTGTTGAAATCAGATTACAGGTGCATGTTGACAAGCATTGTCAGTTATTTTTTACTACATTATGCACGGTGTCTCCTTATGTGATCTGCAACTTGAACCAATAGCCTGAAACCAGAATCTCACAAAACTTCCTATCACTCATTGAATTAGCATGTATTGAGTATAGGGAATATGATATATTCTTACTAAGATATAAGAGTAAGTGAGTTAAGTTTTCCGCCACTTTTTAGCAATATTCCAGCAATATCATGGCTGGTGACACCAGAAATGGGCTTCACACGTTTAACCCATGTGGGGAATCGGAACCCAGGTCTTCGTCGTGAAGAGCGGATGCTTCAACCACTAGGCTACCCCACCGCCCCTGAGATATAAGAGTTGGAACAAGGTGCAGAGTGTCCTATTCTGTCCTTGTCTGACTCTTTATGTGTTGAGCTGGAGTCGGCACTACTTGAGGTATACAGATACCTTTGATAGATGGGATAATTGAACATGCAGGGAAGATGACATGTCCCACGTTGCTTTTCTTTACATGATGGATGGGAAACTGGATGGGTTTTGTGGCAGTGACTGTACAGTGATTGTCCACAAGACCGCCGGATTGGGCACAATGGATATGAGTGTGATTGTGTGACCACTTCTGTCCCCAGTGTGTTGTCTCATGGCTTGTACAGCAAACTATACAGTCTACTGTTAGTTTCTGTTACAGTCCCTGAACCACAATATTTACACTTCCGCTGTCACTTTTCTTAAATGCAAAAGCCCTGAATGATGCAAGTCTGGATTTTACTCAGGTCAGAATCTTCAGCTCAGTGGGCCTCCTTTTCTGCTAAATTGGCCTTCAGAATTAGAAATGGTCTTCAGTAACCCATGCTTGTCGTAAAAGGCAACTAATGGGATGGGATCGTCAGGTTTGCTGACTTGGTTGACACATTTCATCGTATCCCAATTGCATAGATTGATGTTCATGCTATTAATCACTGGACTGTCTGGTCAAGACTCGATTATTTACAGACCGACACAATATAAAATAGATGGACTATTGCTGAGTACAGAGATAAACAACAATCAATCAATCAGTAAATAAAATATAGTTATTAGGTTCCACATTTCATATTTTCAGAGACTAGTTACTCCATGTCAACATGTAACAGAAGATTGGACCATGTCTAAGGTTACAAGCAACTGCAACCAATAAGCGTCAAAACAGCAGAGTTTAGCTCCACTGTGGCACTGTTTGACTCCCATATGATTGTGAACAACTAGCTTTGATCCTGTTTGATCAGTTTGGCTGTCCTGAATATGATCTGCTTTCAGTGCTCCCAAAGGATTCAGATTATGAAATGCATACTTGGTTTCCATTTATGTTGCTGTTGTGTTAAACATCGCTAACTCTATTAGTATTACTCATTGATTACGAATTGTTCCCTGCCTTCTGCCTTTGTGACTTCAATTTTGATTCAACAGAGCATGTAGATGTATTCATGCTTAACAATGGCAGATGTGCATATTGCAGGCTTTACACATCTCCGTGTATTTGTGATGGAGTTGATTGTTATTATCATCCCTGGTCTTGATATTCTGTATGAATACTGCCCAGTCCTGATGGTGATGACTTGATTCGGTCATAAGTGTTATTGCCTGCTCGCTCACTCACTCACTCACTCACACTCTCACTCAGTCACACTCTTAATCACACTCACTCACTCACTCACTCACTCACTCACTCACTCACTCACTCACTCACTCACTCACTCACTCACTCACTCACTCACTCACTCACTCACTCACTCACTCACTCACTCACTCACTCACTCACACTCTCACTCACTCTATCACTCACTCTATCTATTGGAAGAAATGATTTTGGTGGATGTGAGCAGCCATTAATTATTTAACCAAGGGCCAGACATGGATTATGCATTGTTTGTTGCCTGGAACCATTGACATCAATGTCAAGTCAACAGAGCATATAGATATATTTGTGCATAACAATTGCTAATGTACATATTGCAGACTTTACATATCTCAGTGAATTTGTGATGGAGATGATGGTTATTATCAGCCTAGTCTTGATATATGGTAGGAAAACTGCCCAGTCCACCAGATGGCGATGACTGGATGGCATTCGGTCAAGCTTTATCATGGAATGCATTTATAATGTTATTGCTCACATATCTGGTAAAAGGGCCTGTCAAACTGATAAAACAAATTCATCATGTTGTCCGAACAGCCTTTTCATGAGTATCTTTTGTCAGTGAAGTGCCACCACCATCGCCATCACCGCCATGAGAGACCGTAGGTCAAACACTCTAAAGTGGGGTTCAAGATGGGTTCTATTGAAGTTTTATCTGTTCAAACATTGCCATCTCTCCATTCAATATACCTGGAGGGCAAGAACTAGCACGAGACAGGATTTTCTTTCCTTACAGGCAGGAGAATTCCAAAAACCCTTGGCTTATCTCGCCACTTAGAATGAAAGACACATTTATTTGCTGAAGCATGGCTTATAAAGGATAAAAGACTCAAGGGAGTCCTTTCTTCATCTTGTTTTAGCTCAATATGTGTACAAGCTTCTATTGCTTACAGTGTAAATCGTTAGCTTGTTCTGTGGTCAAGCAAGGAATTCCTGTCCTCGAGCAGTGAATGGACCTTAGTCATACAGTTGCGATTAAATATGGCTGAAGCAGGCCTATGAGAATATGACAGGACAGTTGACGTACGTTCGTTGTTTGAACTTTTCAAAGGAGAGGAATAAAAGCTGGAGTCCAGATCTCACTAACATGTCATCCTTGTGTGTTTGTTTTATTGATGAAGGCTTGAGGAATGACGTTTTCATTGTTCTTAGCAAACATTTTGAAGTGTGAAATATTTGTATTTGTCATTTATGGGCTATAGGTATAGATAGCTGTGATAAGTCAATCCCTACTCGCTCTTCCCTTTCTTAAACATTGTTATCGATCATGCCCAAGTGTGAAGTATTTCGTAGTTCTCCTTTGTAGGCAATCAGTTTCAGTAGATGTGATAAGAGATCCCAGTAACGTCTTCCCTTACTGGAACATTCGCCTCTGGTGGCTTACGTGTTGAAACTGTGGTTCTGCTTCGTTAAGAATTAGCTTGGAAACAGATTCAGGTTTCACAGAATTCAGGTTTAAACGGTTTTATCGATGATATTACCTCGCTGCTGAGTTCACACAAACATGCACATGGCTTGTTAGGTTTGAAATGTTGATAAAGCATCTATTTCATTATGGCTGTACATTCTTGCGTTCCAGATCAAAGTGAGGTTGTATAGGAGGTGTGCGTCG